GGTAAAGCACCTTAAGACCCTTCCATCTATGAAGAGTATTTGATTCTACCATATCTGGGTCTTGAGAAGAAGATTTTTGAAATTTTAGTCAATTTGACCCTTTTTGGCCCCGCCCCTCAGGCCCCGGGGGGCTTAGGACTAAACCGGCAACTATTTTTGTTGACCTTTGTCCATGGAAGGTCCCTGCAAAATTTCATTGAAATTGGTTCAGGGGTTTTGGAGTAGAAGTCGAAAATGTAAATAGTTTACGAACGGACGACGGACGACGGACGACGACGGACAAAAGGCGATCGCAATAGGTCACTTGAGACTTTGTCTCAGGTGACCTAAAAATGGAACAAAGAAACGGAGGACTCACAATAACTGTAGCCGGGTTGAACTGAAGACGTAAAAAGTGTAGCATATACATGCACGACACTGGAAGCCCACATCTAGCCGAGGAGAAAAATTCAGAAAAATGTATTTATACCTTCTCCTGGTGGGCTTGGGCTGTCCGTATCCTTACCGTGGTTATTGAGAGCGCGAGGCTCGGAATACTTCCTGCCTATATCGGCAAAGGAACGTATAAGGGGCAGGTGATATTTGCTGCCCCCATTTTCGTCGTGTTTGTGTTTTTTGTCGTAGAGATGCCTATGTCGTAGTAGGAGAATGTCCCGCACTTCTTCCTTGAGCGGCTCTTCCAACTGTTTCGAAGCCACCATGTTATCAAGGAAAACATCTACAAATTCAGATCATAAATAAGGCGAGGGTAAAGAATTATTAAGTATTGACCAGAAAATTGTAGACAAATACAGATTTCATTAATAAGGCACGGGTAAATAAAATATGAAGTATTGTCCTCAAAAATGTCTACAAAATTAATACAGATTACATCAATTAGACGAAAGAAAAACCCCATAAGGAAACCTAATAAGTTACTATTTATAGCAATATACCAAATATTTTTTCACAATTGTATTAACATTGTTTTGGACTGTGTATAATGGATCCTTACAATTCTAAATACTTTGTTTTCTTTGTACAAATCTTGTTAGTCCAGGCAATTTAGTTTATAAAGAAATTTTCAAACTGGTTTCAATGACTTCTGCACACGTCTGTTATATATTCCAAGTTTTTCAAGTGTATGTCCTTACCTACAACACATGGTAGTGAATCGGCCGCCATGTCCAATATCACCGTCCCCTGGAGAATGTTACACCGCAGTTCAAACAGGGAGTGTAGGGATAAAGTAGCCACGTGGGGTTTGGACCACCTCTCTCCTCCCTCCTCGACATCCTCCTCAAACTTCACCCATCTATAAAACACAAAATATAAACTTCACCCATCTATAAAACACAAAATATAAACTTCATTCATCTACAAAACATTAATTATAAACTTCAACCATCCATATAACACAAAATATAAACTTCACCCATCTATAAAAAACAAAATATAAACTTCACCCATCTATAAAACACAAAATATAAACTTCACCCATCTATAAAACACAAATTACAAACTTCATTCAACTACGTAACATTAATTATAAACTTCATTAAACTACGAAACTTTAATTATAAACTTCACACATTTACAATACACAGTTTATAAACTTTAACCATCTACAAAACACAAAATATAAACTTCATTCAACTACGAAACATTAATTATAAACTTCACACATTTACAAAACACAGTTTATAAACTTTAACCATCTACAAAACACAAAATATAAACTTCATTCAACTACGAAACATTAATTATAAACTTCACACATCTACAAAACACAGTTTATAAACTTCACCCATCTATAAAACACAAAATATAAACTTCATTCAACTACGAAACATTAATTATAAACTTCACACATTTACAAAACACAGTTTATAAACTTTAACCATCTACAAAACACAAAATATAAACTTCATTCAACTACGAAACATTAATTATAAACTTCACACATCTACAAAACACAGTTTATAAACTTCACCCATCTATAAAACACAAAATATAAACTTCATTCAACTACGAAACATTAATTATAAACTTCACACATTTACAAAACACAGTTTATAAACTTTACCCATCTATAAAACACAAAATATAAACTTCATTCAACTACGAAACATTAATTATAAACTTCACACATCTACAAAACACAGTTTATAAACTTCACCCATCTATAAAACACAAAATATAAACTTCATTCAAGTACGAAACATTGATTATAAACTTCACCCATCTATAAAACACAAAATATAAACTTCACCCATCTATAAAACACAAAATATAAACTTCATTAAAGTACGAAACATTGATTATAAACTTCACCCATCTACAAAACACAGATTATAAACTTTATCATTGAACAAAACACAAACTGTAAACATTAAGTACAATTTTTTGTGATAATTATATATTTTTTATCCAAACACAGTAATCTTGGAGGAAAAATTCAAGTTTCAAAATATTATGTAATGATATTTCTGGAAAAAAATAGCAATAAAATCCTACCAAATGTTGTCAAAGATACTTTAACCCAGGGGAGATAAGTCCTTAGATAAGGAATCGAACAGATACAGGACCTATTTTTATGGAAAAAAACAAAACTTCTATAGAGTGCTATAATACAAGGGAAATAATCCAATGTTACCGGGCTGTTTCTTTCCACTCCACGTCCCCACCGTCCTTATACAGAAGTTCGGCCATCTCACAGAACACGTCATGGGCCTTGTGTTCTTCATCTTCCTCCTCGCCAAGCAGGAACTGCACTCTTTGGGCGGGGGACGTGGCTGTTAATTTAGGAGTAGAATATCATTTTGGGATCGTCAAATAAAATGTTTAAATGAGGAATGGATTTATCATTTCAGGATCGCCAAATACAATATTTAAACCAGAAACAGTGTATTATATCAGGATCGCATAAATACAAAAATAAAATTTACCATTTCAGCATAATCAAGTACAATGTTGAAACAAAAAACAGAATACCATTTCAGGATCGTCAATAACAATGTTTGTATCGTCTCAAAGCAAAACAGGCAAGCTTTTTCATATTCAGAAATACCCAATTTCGTTAATTCTAAACATATTTATGGAATGTTTCTCGTTGAAGCAAACTTTTATATTTATTTAATAATACACTCCAGCCATAGCCGACACTATTGAATGTATATGTACAGTATACTGTTATTGCATTCTAATTCTGAACATTTATCAATTTCACATTTGAACTTAAATTGAACCATGCAATAAATAATCACAATCAGCTATTTACTACCCTGAAAAGGAAAATTCATATGCTGTAAAAAAAATATATCCCCACTTAATTTAGCTCAACTCAAGAGAAAGCAGTTGAAAAGACTGACTAAAGCTGAAGGCTGAAATCGACTTCTTATATAATGGACACCTAATTAACATGCAGCAAGATAGGGAACAACCTGAAACAGAATTTATCAACATAATGAATATCTATGTCTTTTTTTTTTTTTATTTGAAACTGAACAGTGAACAAGTTCAAATGTGATGTGCACAGCATAAAATCATCAAATAAACTGAACCCTGTATAATTTAGAAACCTGTATAAACCTGAGTTTTGTCTCGACTCTTCTGTAAATATAATAGAACATTGCTCATGGCAAAGTTACAACAGAATGTGTACCATGTCATTTATTGTTCATTTTGTAAATTCAAAATATAACTATGAAAATCAGTACAGGAATGCTAGATCCATAAGAAGAAAAAGAAATAAACAAAAAATTCCTCAAAGAATTGTTAAAATAAAAGCAACCGAGTCCAATCAGGCATATGTTATAAATTTACACTGGTATTTTTTAACAGATATAGTTGATGATCATTTAGTTAAGGTTAAATGATTACAACAAGATGATCAATTAAGATTTTACACCGATTCCCTTCTCTAATTATAAACCAAAGACCAGGACGATAAGATATGTGAACACTTCCTATCCTCACCTCAGGCCTGATTCCCAGATATAGTCTTCAATAAAAGATACAGATAATCCTAATGAAGATTTTGAGATACAATTTCAATTATGTGAGCATTTGTAATATCGATTACATGTAAGATATTTAAATGCCAGGACTATTCTGTCTCACTGACTCACTAGTGGTGATCTGTCTTCAGTCAAACATCCTCTGTTGTCATGACAGATTAAAGGGTAACACTGCATCAGTTTAATTATTGCACAGAAGAGTTCCGTTCCACTCATTGTTTTATACTTGGAGTTTTCTCCCTTTTATATACATAGAAGATGAAGCAACCAAAAGGAGCTTGCCTGGCATAGAGTAACTTCCCCTTGTCAGGTTATGTGAAAGTTAGTTTCCAATACAGGAGCCCATGGAGCTCCTCTACACTGGACTCAAAAATTAAACAATTCATTTATGTGTGTTTTAATGTTGATTGCTTTTTTTTTTATAGACTTTTGCTGCCTATAACTTGGACACTCATTTTGATGGCATGCTGTGCAGTTTTGATTCCCGGATTGCAAGATTTGTAAAGTGTAGGCTTTGAAAAGTAAACATCATGAATTTGACCGCTGTATTTCTTCCGTTGTCTTTTATATTCATATTTCAAGCATTCAAATTTAGAACAACTATAAATTATCGTCATCATATCTTAACAAGGTCTTACACACACCGTCAATCCAGGTCAATGTTCCAACAATGGCTAACGATTAATCAATAAAATTCTACTGATCCACTTGTGGCACAGTCAATACTGAAACTGTGACAGCGTGACCATTAATGGAACGTGACAAAATGGGAATGTCAAATGACGTCTATAATCACATCATTCTTAAGCTTCAGCATAACCCTGAGGCAGCAAACATATGGTTGTCCCCGATAACACTCAGAACGGCTCATGATCATCCTGCCTGGCGGTTCTAGCATTCCAGCATCTCAGAAACAGTCATCTCTGACAGCCACTGCTGGTCTCTCTGATAGGACCACCTCTCTGACAGGACCACCTCTTTGATAGGGTCACTTATCTGATATCTTCAACTCTAGCCTCTTAGAATGGGCAAATGCTAGACCAAATCAGGCAAAAAACTATCCTAAAAGCATTATTCTCACAGCCTCTCAGGTAAGGGGTAAATGGGAGAAGGGGTTGTCCTTTACTGGTGAGATACCATATTTCAAATCCTTCCTGATTTTTGAAACCCTTTCTCCCTATTGACCCATAATCTGACCTTTCACCTCTATGCCCCATTCCCCACCCAACACGCACAACCTGCTTCACCCAACTTTCTCCTCTCCTGTAGAATCTGGTGGCCATTGGTTTGAGTGTACTGACATCTATATTGTGCAGCTGTTAACTGAGATTACACCCATTCTAACATAGAGTCTTACATAGAAGAATGCAGGCATTCCAAGTTATAATACTGAATTCCATGTCAGTCTTTTCATAAAGTCAAAATCAATAAGCTACAGAACTTAAACGCTCAATGTTATATATCTTGTAACTGCACAAGCAAGCTAGGTCTTTAAATTCAAATGAAAATTGGTTTAAAATTGAATCAGTAAAATAACCTGATATTTCTATTACAATAAATTGAGAACCTGTAGGGCTGTTAACACGTTTATTACTTTATACAGAGAGTGAAATATGTGAAGACTTATTGTACTTAATTATCTCTATTTATGCTTTGCTTAAGGAGCCCTCCACATTTAAATATTCATAACCTTCAACTCTTAACTTCTCCCTTTAGGATCTATAACCCTCAACACTCTTATTCTCCATTTAAGGAGCTCCCCTTCCTTAAAGGACCAACATTGCTCAACCATATCTTATATTGTCCCTAGTAAAAGATCCATAGGCCTTAATACTTGAATTCTCAATTTAAGGAGCTACCCTTCCTTGAAGGATCAAATACCCTCAACACGAATATTCTCCATTTAAGGAACCCCTCAACATCCCTCAACCCTATCTTTTCCCTATAAGCAGCCAGCCCCCTCATTTAAGTTTCTACATATATTCTCCATTTAAGGAGCCCCCCTCCTTTAAGGACAAACATTCCTCAACTCTATCTTCTCCCTAACTTATAACCCTATTTAATATTTGACAAAATAAAGAGAAATAACTCTGTATGTAGAACAGTACACTTTGCCTTCCTAAGATACATAAAGAAGAAATGGCTTGGATGTTATGCTAAGGTCAATATATGACCTCAAAAATTCAATTAGGGGCCATGTAAGTTTGCCTACAGTGCGGGATAAGACCCTATTTCAGTATGTGACAATGTATGCGTTCCACATGCACCTTCTCAAGTACTTCATACATATACGTAGGTGAACTTGTGTTCCAGACAAAATATTGTTGACACATGGCCAGCCAGACAAAGCAACACGATAATTCGTCCTGTCATAGAGGGCCGTATAAAAACGGTTCAACCTAAGTGTGTTACTAGATGGAATGATATTCCTTGTTTTTTCTGTAATTGCTTTGGATGTGTGTAATGACAATGTCTGATATCTGTTTCCTGCCCAGAGTTAGTGACTTTCTATCCTGTTGGATGATCTGCGCTGTACATATCGGGGCCATAATCAATAGGAAAAGTTGTTGTCTATGGGGGAATGGCAGATTAGAAATATTTCTACATACATCAGGAGCCTCCCTGTGTGACATTTCACCCAGACTGCTCCGGTCCAACGCCTGCATGCCTGGTAGTATCTATCTGAGCCAGTTGTAAGCCGAGCCTCAAGCCTCTATTAATTAGTTTGTCTTATCGGGATGAGCCTAATGTAATCTGGTAATTCTGAGAGTTATGATTTGGAGAGACATCCATCATAAGTAATAAGATGTTGCTACAACTTGTCTCTGGTTACAAAACTTGTAAATCTTTCCCTTTCTTCCAAATATGAGGATTTACAAGGTCATCATAATATTTACAAGGTCATCATATAAGATTTACAAGCTTAAGGTCATCAGAGGATTTACAAGGTCATTCATCTCCATCTTAACAATATCAATTTACGATTCCCCTAATGGTCTAGTCAGAAAGTAACCTATATAAGTACTTGACAAGTTTTGATCTAGATACGGCAGAGTGAAAATAGAGAGCTTTAACTCTTTGCTACAACCGTTCTTGTGCTGTCTTAACCGATAAAAATTGTAAATGACCCATATAGGCAACAATAAGGTCAATGTTTGACAATCTTTTGACACAATGACCAACTTAATTATGAATATAAATTATGTTAGATTTGACAGCTATGACAGGGAGACTACTCTGGCTATACAAGTTCATTAGTGCATTACATATTTGATCTGTAGAGGAATGAGTGGTTGGAAGGCTACGTTTACACAGTGGCCATTTGGTAGATATCATAAATCAGATATTTTAGTGCTTTAAGTGGATAAATGCCATCGTGAGCGGCCTGGTATGACACCGATCCAAACTTGACAGCGTAGTTTTTATTCAGATTATCATTAAGCCAAATTAAATGTCCTGAATGACATTTTAAAACTTCAAAACCTAATATTTTTATGAAATTTTCGAAACAGCTGATTGAGCGTAAAACAGAGTTGAACTGAATGACTCGGCACAAACAGAGCCATTTAACACTTTAACTGATCATATCATTTCGTCTCAGTCATTCAACAAAAACATTAATTTAATGATATAATATTACATTATTATAGCTGTCATCTTTGTATTTAGCAGATACTTGGGTACCCAATTAGAAATAAGCTGTTTATGATTTTATTGGCTATCCTAGGTTTAAAGGTACTAAAATATAATTGTAACGTGTCATTATGCTGTGATAA